GGCACGTGGTACGGGGGAGGGGAGGCAGATGCATGGTAGAGAAGTTAAAGTGGAGTTAGTAGATGAATGGATAGAGTGTGGAGTATAGGGGGTGAGACGAGGGAGCGCAGGGAGGATAGGTAAAAATGAGATAGATTGAGACGACGAGAGAAATATGTGGTAGTATACGTGGAACCTGTTGACGGACAGTCTTGTCTTCCCAAATTCACAGACTGAATAAATAACGCTCAAATATGGTTTATCAGTATATATTTCCATCTTTTCTGATTTCTGTTCTACGGTTCTCGCATTTGCAGAGATTTGCACTCTCTCATGGTTCTTCATGCTTCTTCACTTCGCATCTGCACGTGTATCTTCTCTCATAATTTTCATCATACCTTACCTTCACATCTTTATTCTTCTCTTCTGGAGGCAATGTACGGAGCTTCAGTTATCACATAAAAAACACACACAAATCACACAAGCTGGTCTCACTCCCAACTGTCGAGGCTACCAAGTCCAACGACGCAACCCCAAAAATTATAGCAACCACCTATGGTCTCGGAGAACACCATCACAGCAGTAGCATAAGCCAGGATGGGTTTTCACTCGGGTCCATATTCATGGGTATGGCAATCGCGCCCGAGCTTCGCCTCACTGGAGGATCGTTCCAGTCGTTCGCACACTCGACGGCAGTCTTCCCCATCCTCACGTTCCTTGTCCTGGTTTTCACTTCTGGCCTTTGCTCACCCTGTCCAGGCTCTATCTTTTCGAGCAGGACCTACTGGATTATTTCTCCGCATCACCTATTATTCATCTTATCGATCAGATTCTTATCTGTAGTTGATCTACTACGCAACGAGCAGTAATACTCGTGCGACTTGCGAGGGTTGATTTTTTCTCCAGTTACGATTCTCACTAATATCAAGCTCTCCTCCGGCTTCATTCTTATTGACCAGACAGGAGGAGAATCGCGTCGGTGCGATCGCGCTGGTTCAAAGCAATGGACATTGTTCTTCCAGTAGAGGTCGCCTGCGGGTGTTCCGTCTTGTCGTGGTCATTTAGTCGTCATCGAATTTAATAAAAGTTGATGCAGATTTTGACGAGGAATTGGTGAAAGAATTTCGTGTGAAAGAATTTTCCTCATTGCAGCACCTCGAAAGGCAATTGATAATGGCAATATAGGTTTGGGTGAAGACGTTATCATTTTATTATTATCATTATTATTACTATTACCACCACCATCATTATTGGATTTCCGTCATTCGTTCTACGTGTCCCCGAAGATGAAGGGAACACAATTTGCAACAACGGTCGTCGTTTTTATTTCTCTCTTTCTCTCTCGTATAGTCCGTTTGAGATAGCTACCTTGTTAGCAGATTGTTTTATTTCAAAACAGAGTTTAGAAGATATTGAACTTCCTCCTTGATGTCACCCATTGCCATGCTTTAATTCATTTGCTTTCATGTCCTCTGAAATCAAGTATCTGTTATCTGAACTCGATGAATATGGTGGATGTATATTTCTTCTTGGGTTGGGGGGATGTTCCTCGTAATCAGCAGGAAACGGAAACACCGAGCTGAATCTTGCAGGTTCTATTCTCAGGAGAGTTACATGGGGGCGAGAGCACACATCTGTCTCCTATGGTTGACCAGCGCCGAGAGACCGAAAATTGGCGGGAAACCTCGCTCACAGGCAATGTTGCTAGGTCACGTGGCCAAGGACAGTGTTGCCACGTCACATGCAATAAAAGTACAAATGCGGGAGGCTACATCAATACAAGGGAACATACATTGGCAAGATTATTCGTACATACAATACATATAGAAATAAGGATTAAACATAATATAGAATATATTGTACAAGCTATGAATAATGCATGAATCCTCACATATCTACACCTCCCTCCCCCCTCACGCTCGTAGTACAATTACGAGCGGACTCTTTTTCTAGGAGTCTCAGAGAGCGACGTGGGTCAGCTGGGGGGTTACTGAATGTGGACTGCTTTTCAAGGTCCAAGCAAGGGTCCACAGGGATATGAGGAAGGGAGTCATCACCAGGGGGCGGCACAGTGCGAAGGAAACGGCGGTTCCGCCACCATGCCCGACCACTGGGTAGACGGATCTCATAATCCCGTGACCTGCCGCAGCCCATGACGACCCCAACCTTGTCCCAGCGGTGAGATGCCGGGTCTTGAATCCGAACGTGTTGTCTGACATTCAACCTGGGTAAGGGGCGTGCGTGCTGGTCGTACTGGAGCTTCACTGCCTCGGCACGGGCGGCTGCATGGCGGTCACAGTCCTCTGTCTTCTCTTGCCAGTGCATCAAAAAGGACTGAGGATGAGCAGGTACACATGACTGAAGTGGTTGACCATACAGGATCTGGGCTGGGGAGCGACCTGTAGCGTTAGGAGTGTTCCGGAGTTCCAAGAGACCCCGGTCAAAGTCTTCACAATCAATGTTGCCTAAGGGTGCTGTCTTGAGGATAAGGTGTTCCAATGACTTTACGGCAGCCTCGGCATGACCATTCGACTGTGGATGTGGCGAAGTAACCACATGAAAAACTCCCCACCGCTTCACGAAATTCCGGAATTCCTTGTTGGTGAATTGTGGTCCTCCATCAGTCTGTAGATGGAGAGGAACACCAACTTCTCGGAAATAGCGGCAGAAGAACCTGATGGTGTTGAGGGCGGTAGTGTCACCTTTGCAAGGTATGAGGACAGGCCACCCAGAGAATCGATCAGCATGACCAGGAAGGACTTCCCTGCAACTGTGAAGAAGTCTGCTGAAATGGACTCAAAGGGCCGTGTGGGGTTGTCATTGGCACATGAGGGGCTCCTGCTGCTGACTAGGCTGAAACATTTGGCAAGACTCACAGGCATGGACAGTACTGGTGATGTCCGAGTCTATACCAGGCCAAAAGACAGTCTGCTTTGCCCGTCGCTTCGTGGACTCTACACCTCTGTGGCTGTCGTGTAGACAAGAGAGGGTGCGGCGGCGGAGGGCAGCAGGAACTACAACTCTTGCTCCATATAAAACGAGTTCACCGTCAATGGAAAGGTTGTCTCGTATCTTCCAGAATGGGAGCAGAGAGCTGTGGAGATCGTATCTGTTGGAAGGGAATCCTGAAGAAACGCAGTCCAGAAGGCGAGTGTATGAAGGGTCCACTCTTGCTGCGGCTCGAAGATCCTGAAGAGTCCTGTCGGTGTCCAGCGGCGGAGACTCCCCTGGAGAGATAACAGCATTCACTCTCACAATAGGCCTGAGGTGTGCGGTATCATCACTTCTTGGAGTTTTACTCTTCTGATTTTCCCTCTTCTTTTGTTTACAGCATTTTTCATAGTGTCCCATGCGATTGCAAAAGTTGCACTGGACGGAGGGCAGGACACTTGGATGTCCTTGCCCAATGACCATGACGACCACAGTTGTTGCAAATGCTGTCAGCGGCAGGGCATTTCCCTGAATCATGCCGTCGTGCGCAAAACTGACATGAACCCTGTGAATTCGAAGTCGGCGGAGAAGGGTTTGGCGTGTATTGCCCCCTTCTTTTTTCTGATTGGCAGAAACGGCACACACTTGGTTTGGGAGAGCACGTATAGCAGAGGTGGCACTCCTGGTAGCTTCGAAGGATCGACAGGCATTAACCATATCCTGTAGAGAGGAGTGTGAAGGTAGACAGATGAGTTTCTGAATTAACTCCTCATCGCGAATACCCGTCAGTATTATCATTTTGAGCTGGGTTTCTTCACACTCCTTTGAATTCCCATGGCAGATGTCCACTTCTTCCGCTATACGCCGCAGTCGTACATAAAAATCAGCAAATGACTCACCATCAGACTGTTTACAACCAAACAGGTCCCGTCTGCGAAGGGCTTCATTCCGAAGACTCTTAATGTGGGACTGCAAGGCGTCCAAAACCTGGTCGACAGTCAAGTCTGTTGAGGGCGTAATCTGCAGTGTATGCTCTAATATGCGTTGTGTTTCTAGGCTTAAGCACATCCACATCTGTATTAGCTGTTTCTCACGAGGTAGACTTGCCAAGTCCACCATAACAGCATAATCATCCCACCGCCTACGCCATTCACGGAAGACCTGAAAAGATGCGTCAGATTTTAACGGAGGTGGATTCTGAGCTATTGCCTTCTGTGGTGGAGGATGATGAGTGGTGGGATGAGGCCCAGGAGCAAGTGGAGGGGAAGAGCCAGCTAAAGTTGGCTGAAGATTTACAGGTGACAGGAGCTGGATGAGGGTCGTGAATCTTGCAGCCTCTTCCTGGCGACGTAAATCATCTTCCTGGCGACGAATCTCTTCTTCCCGGCGTCGTCTAGCTTCCTCTTGCACTCGAGATGCCTCCCAATACTGTATCAGATAAAATCAGCGGCAGTCGCGGAAGTTGGGTGGGTGTTCTGGGGAGGGGAGAGGAGGGGAGGCTGGTCCACTCCTCCACCCGTCGCTCCACCCACTGGAAGTGAGTACTGAAGTGCATCTTGTTGGGGCTCGTTGGATTCGGTAGAAAATCCCTGATCAGCCATGTAAGTTGAAAAATAGGAAGCACTTGTTCAATTCCAGTAAACGTATTCTCTTACTGAAAGACTTGTAATTGAATATTACATGAGACCGTGCGAGCGAGCAGTGAGTGCGTTCGTGCGTAAGCGTGTTGCGGGTGTTGCCGAGATCGGTGTCTAGCAGCGCGGAAGAGTACTTCTTTGAGGCGCGTTGCTGGGACCGTCAGTACGTGGGCAGATGTGGTGGGAGGGTGTGCGAAGCAGCGCTCCCACAGAAGACATGAAAAACGGCCACAAAAAAAATACTGTAGTACACACGACAAAACATGGGGAAATCACTTCACTGCACTAAAAATCACTCCACAAATCACTGTAATCCAGAAAGATGAGGCTGGGGTAGAAGTTCAGTTGGCTAACGGCGCCTGGTCGCTTCTCTCGGTAAAACTCCTGAAAATACAGTCACTGCGCCATGTATATTTCTTCTTGAGTACACCCTTGTTTCCTTTGATTTTAAAAATAAATGGCCAATTAGCTCCTAAATTAGCCGTAATCTTACGCCTTTTAGTTCGTAAAGGGTCATTTCCAGATTGCTATTCCCAAGGGCCCACTACAGTCTTCACCTACTGAATATAGGCCCATTTCAATTACACCAATTTTATCCAAGGTTTTTGAACGTTTGCTGGTCAAACGTCTTTCTGTACATTTGAGACCGTTTCTTCCAGAGACTCAGTTTGGTTTTAGAAAGGGACTCGGCTGCAATGATGCACTGCTTATGTTGGTGCATGAAATGCAGTCTGCTTTAGATAAGGGTCATGAGTCAAGACTTGTCTCGCTGGATTTTAGTGCAGCTTTTGACACTGTTAATCACAAGGTTTTAATTTTTAAGTTACAGTCTTTTGGTGTAGGTGGTAAAGTTTTAAGTATTTTAACTTACTTTTTAACTGGTAGGCAGCAGTGTGTTCATGTTGATGGTAGTTTTAGCTCGTATTCTCATGTATCTTCTGGGGTTCCTCAGGGTAGTGTTCTTGGCCCTTTGCTCTTTATCTTGTATACAAGCGATATGTGGTCTGGCATTACTAATAAAATGTTGGCATATGCTGATGATACTTCTCTCTATGCTGATATTCCTTCTCCGGCAACTAGGCAAATAGTAGCTGACAGTCTCACTGCACTCGTGGTGCTCTCGGTGGGGCATGAAATTAAATCCTACTAAGTCTAAAGAAATGATTGTGAGTCGGTCTCGAACGCAGTTGCCTCAGCATCCAAGTCTGCTGATTAATGGAGTTTAATCACTTCGGTGGATATTGAAGCTTTAGGTGTAACCTTTGATTCAAAGCTTACATTTGAATTGCATATTAGGAATATGGCCCGGGCAATTTCATCAAAGTTAGGCATCATTCGCAAGTGCAAGAAAATCTATGAAGATGACTACATTACGCGTAGGTGTTTCTTTTCTTTTATTCTGCCTCATTTTGAGTATTGTTCTTCTGTGTGGTTATCTGCTGCAGACTCACACTTAAGACTGCTTGATCGTTCTTTTAATTTCATTAAATTTCTCCTGTCTGACTTAAATTTGGACATTAGACATCGTAGGTTGATTTTTATCAACCTGTAAGAATTACCAGAAGTTCTATGACCCTCAATTCAATGACGTTTGATGTAAGTCGATCTTCTACAAGTCAGTTTTCTAGATGCTTTTTTTACTGCTATTTGTAGACTTTGGAATAGATTGCCTTCAGAGATTGTAACTTCTTCGACTCTTGATAATTTTAAAACGTCAGCTAACATGTTTTTCTTACGTAATTAGCTGACTTTCTTTTTATTCATTCTTTCTTAGCTGTATCTTGACCTGCACTGACACATTTGGTGGTATAAATCTTGATTTTCGCAGTGTGGCTCTTTATATAGCTTACAACAATAGGAACAATAACAGTTGTTATTATTATTACTACTACTACTATCATTATTATTATAATAAATGGTATCAATATAAAAGAAAAAACAGTTTCATGGGACCAGATTCAAATGAAATGTAAACAAGATATCCTGATAATGAGGCGAATTACAACAATCCATTTCATATCAAAACAAGACACCCATCCACCTGATATATATTTAGCACTGGATCCTGCTGTCACACATCAGTAGTAGTAGTATTTCACACCTTGGTAGCTATGCTGTCTGGTTTGTTTTCCTTCCGGACCATAAGTAGCATTCATTATTTCATGACACTGAACTACAGTGACAACAAAACTTTCTTAATATATAGGTAAATACAAGGCTACTGTCAAAGGCGATCGTGCAGTTCGTTCTACGTTGCAAGTGCCAAAACTGCAACCGTTATACTAAACCGTATCTCATTGCTAACAGACCTATGTTTCTCTTCTGTGAGTTCGTGTTTCTTATCTGAAGTGGGCAAAGTGGAACGAAAACAACGCTAAACAAGACAGTATAACAATATAACCTCTTTCCTACCTTCCCCATTTCCTGCTCCTGAAATGGAACAACAAAATTGTGAAACCGCGCATAAACACTAACAAACACAGATCCCCCAGCAAATCCCCCCCAAAAAGCGAAATCAAACACTGTAATTCCTCCATACTCCTTCGCAATACAAACAAGAAAAGGCACAGAAACAAAAGCAGAAAGATAGAAGGGCAGGTAAGTAGATAGAGATGCGAACAGAAATTCTTGCATAAAAAAATCCAATTTCTCGTCTCCGTCGGGGTTCGACCTCGAGTCTTCCGCGTAAGATGCAATCGTGCGAACCGTTACACCACGGAAGCATTTCCTATGTTGGTGCACTTTACTAGAACTAAATATTAAAAAATATAAATAATGTATATATAGATGCTCAGTTAAGTTCCATGATTAACTGACAAACAAACACACATCCTTCTTTTTCTTGTTTTCTCTCTATCAGCCTGTCTGTACATTTATCTATCTGTCTGTATCTATATGTTTTCTCTCCCATTCCCTTATTCTCGTCTTCTCTCTATCAGCCTGCCTGCATATCTATCTATCTATCTGTATCTATAACTATATCTATCTACCAACATCCTGATCCTCATTCTATGGC